CCAGCCCAGGCCGTCGGCCAGACACACACACTTGTTTGTATGCAGGTACCAAGACAACATTCAAACCAATTAGAAATCTGCAACTGTATGGGATCCAGGTTGTCGACTGCGGGTCAATCTGAGCCACCATGGGTGGGACACCTGAGGCAGGTCACGGTCCAACACTACATAAGACCCTTCCTCCAGGGAGTCAACATTCAGTCTTGCTATGTTGACTTGACGCTAGCTCGACGCTGGCTGGACGTTGGCTTGACGCTAGCTGGATGTTGGCATTGTGGACGACGTCGCGAGAGTGCTGCTGCATGCTGGCGCCTTCCTGCTTCGGGGCCAACCTATGTTGACGTGGTGCAAGGCCACACTATCTTCGACATTGCTGATGTGGCGCATGCCACTCTGCCTTCATTGCTGACTTGGCATTTGCCACACTGTTTACATTGTTGAGTTGGACGCGACAATGAGGGAGATCGGGATCTATGGATGATTGAGAGGGGACGGGATACTTACCTGCTGTTGATGCCGATACCGCGTGTTGTTGAACGTCTTCAATGTCTTCATGAGAGAATTGTGCCACGTGGCACTTTGATGTGATCAGGATCTGTCAGGCTCGTTATTGGATATTGTTTTGCTGACATGGAGGCGAGAGGAAGCCTAACCCTCCCTTGAACTCATACTGCCAATGCCGATTAGTGAGAGCTCACACACGCTAGGAATCTCCTCCATGTGCCTGACTACGATTACGACCAAATACTGCGACTGAGTAATGTTGCCTGGTTATACGGGCTTGTGTTTACAAGACTGCTGCGTTACCACCTTTCTTTTTCCGCGCATAAAATTTAGAAACAACTCTCAATCTGTCAAAAAGAATTGGACCATTTGGTCCATTTCTCAATTTCTGAGTTCCATCCTTGCGCAGGGACCATGCTAATTTTCTCTTTGTGTATCGTCTGAGAAAAGAAAAACAAAAAGAGAACAACTCTCAAGTTCTCTGTGTAATGAACCCAGTTTGTAGGATACTCGTAAGACGTCGAAATACAAGGTAACTCAACTCGGAACATTGTCCCCAATAATCATGAAATGTGATCTCTGATACAATGTCTCGTTTGACTCTCAAGACCACAATCCACCATTGCCTCTGCCTAGAGCTTCAATGCACAAGGAGGCCATCCGTTGGTTGCACCAGCCCACTTGCTACTGACACGATTCGTTTATCCCCTCTTGTATTCGTGTTTCCCACTCTCTGTTCGGGTCTTCGCCCCGGGAGATAGTGAACAACCAAGCTCGGCGATTGGCACGTGTTCTCAGCAGGAAAAAGATAGTTATGAAAAATTTGGACTATTGTTATTCAGTTCTAAAACTGCTTTCATCCTGAATAGGGAATTGGAAAACAAAAAAAAAAAGGAATTGGGAACTGATTGGGGAATAACTGGTGCGAGGAATGAGCCCTCGCAGGGCCCTTATCATACATGCACATGTTTTGGGCTGAGGCCGTTAGCAAGCCCGTGCCCGCCCTAAGTGAAGGCGGGCCTGGATATTCACTAGAGGCCAAAATTTGACATTTTCCATATGGGGGTACTCAGGCAATTGTAGCACGCTAGTTGGTTAAGAGGAAGCTTGAGCCTCCCTGTGCTGCGTGGTACAATTGGGCCCAAGCCTTGGTAGTTGCGCCTGGGCACACACACACAATGCAAGGCAGATACATCACGAATTGGCTACGGGCCTACGAAAAAGCAGCATTGTCGACGTACATACCCCGGGTCCTAGGCAAGTGCAGCAAATGGCCTAAGTCTGGAAATACTCGGTGTGCCCAACTGCAAAAGGCCCAGGCCTTCAACTACATCGTTGGGCCTGGGCGCAAGCACTGGGGCCTGATCGGAAGCTACTAAAAGCTTCCCAGCCAGGCCACACCCAGCCAAACAGAGGCTGCCACTTCCATATAGGGAAGGAGGCAGCCAGAGTCAGGCAGGCCAGGCCTTGGTAGTTGCGCCTGGGCACACACACAATGCAAGGCAGATACATCACGAATTGGCTACGGGCCTACGATAAAGTAGCATTGTCGACGTACATACCCCGGGTCCTAGGCAAGTGCAGCAAATGACCCAAGTTCGGAAATACTGGGCGTGCCCAACTGCAAAAGGCCCAGGCCTTCATCTGCATCGTTGGGCCTGGGCGCAGGCACTGGGCCTGATCGGAAGCTACTGGAAGCTTCCCAGCCAGGCCACACCTAGCCAAACAGAGGCTGCCACTTCCATATAGGGAAGGAGGCAACCAGGGTCAGGCATTCTGGCCCACGCGGGCATTGTGGTCACGCTGCTACGTTGTTGCGCGATAGGCTGCGTGCTGCGGTAAGCGGCCAGGTTGTGTGCGGGCGCTTGAGAGGTGAGAGGGGCGCTGCTGGGCAGTGGAGCGCAAGCAGCAGCCAGCCATAGCCGGGCTGCAAGGCGCTAGGGCGTAAGGGCGATCGGTGGTCTTCAGGAAGGAGGCGAGTGTGGGTGGTTAGGGTTTGATGAGGGGAGACGAGATATGTACCTGGTGCATGAGGGAGGTCAGCTATGGTGTTGACGTCATGTACATTGGTCTTCAAAGTCGAAGTCAGCCTGTTGTGTGAATACGGATGTAGTAGGATAGGCAAGTAGTGTAGGCTGGGCACTGGGCGCCAGACAGAGAGGAGCAACATTGGATACTGTGTTGGTGTGGCCCGAGGGCTTGAACATTGGCTCATGAGTTCGTTGTATTGCTCTTATTTGGATGGAATCTCGATGCATTTGTGCTCTCTGCTTGTACACGACTACTTGGGCATCTGTGTGATTTCGCGACTTGGCTCTCTGTAAATCGTTCTCACTCATATTCCTTGCAATTTGGAATTGCAACTGGTTCAAAATCACCTTACCTGGCGCCAACGACATTGTTACGTGGTGTGCTGACGATGCTTCTATGCAGCGAGGATGGTGTGGCGCTGGCTTGTTAACAGGGACCCTGGTAAAGGGGTTCGCCGTTGGACGGTTGTGCCGACAACGTGAGAGCTGTGGCGTCAACGGATGTATGTATGATGATGAGAGCATGTTGATGTTGGTTGAGGTGGAATTGCATTGCGTTGTGGGTGGTACCGAAGATACGACTGGTCATCAAAATGCACACCGGCTCAATTGGTGAGAAATTTGTGGTTAGTGGCAGCTATCCCCAGGTACGTTGTTCCCTTACAATCTACCTTCTCAATTTGTTCTTACCGTGAGGAAGTGAGTCCAACCTTGAGTGTCTTCTCTTTTGTGTGAGGAGTCGTGAGCGCTCTACCTTGGGAGATGATACTCTTCCTTGTGGCTCATCTAGCAGGAGAGGGCGGTGCCTATGAAGGGGCATGGTCGAAGCATGGGTCACGGTCGCCATGCCAACACATGGGAGTAGTACACGCAGGCCATGCTGCTTTGTCCTTTAAAGGCTCTTTGCGATGCTGATAGAAGGGGTGTGCGGACTGACCAGTCCTATGCAGACGCTAACCAGACTGTCTATAAATATTTATGGCGGGGGTCTGAAGTGTCCACTGGCTGTGATCGTCGTCCTGATTGTGACGTTAAATAATTCTTGAGGACCATGGGGGCTGTCCTTAAACTGCGTCTTGATCAGCCAGATCAGTCGGACGTAAGGTTCGTTGCACGCGAGGATAAAGAACGAGCAGTTCTGGTCATAAGCATACGCCTCGGGCACAGGGGTGGGTCGTTAATGCACACACTGTTGCTCGATGATGCCTACAAGTACGTTGGATACAGGGGAGGAAGATTCCAATTGAGACTCAACTGGCAAACACATCTATACCCTTTGTGCATACATCTGCTTACATAGTTTATTTTTGTTTTGATTAGGTGGTTGACTGACTGCTAACAACTCACAAACAGCCTAGACTAGGACTGTAATGTTCTACCATAGTCAGTTCTTGTTGAAGCTTTTGTAAGTGAACTAATGAAGGTAGATATAGATTAATTTGAAACGGTTTTCACCTTTTTGCAGTCACAGATGCGGATCCCAGGGCTCGATCCCCAGACCTTACCTTACCTTATGTACAGTATCAAGTCGACCCTGTATATCTTGAACCCGTGACTTGTGTGTTAGTAGTTGAAAGATTGCATGCCGTAGGTTTGAGTAGTTGTGTCAGGTTTTGAACCCTGTAGAAGTAGGGGTCATACCTTCATAGGGGTCATAGTTGTTGTAGTCTGAAAGGTCAAGGTCGTAGCTTCTACAGTCCTAAAAGGTCAAGGTCGTAGCTGCTACAGTCCTGAAAGGCCAAGTCCACAAACTTTTGAAAGGTTCGGAAGTGGCCTTTCAAGTTTCTTCGCACGTTATACACAGCAGACCAGAGGTAAGTGGGCGAGTGGTGAGTCCAACTTCGCTTAGTCAGCGATACCCAGTCCAAGTCTCACTTTGTACAGTCAGCAAGTACCATGAGGGACTGTGTGCACCATGGGCCCGGTGGAAAAGGGTAGACCAGCAACTTACATAAGTATAAATCAAGAGGCAGCGTCCAACCATTAATTCATTCCTGCTTGAGCCATGCGGAAGCGCTGCCCTAGTGTCTTGTGCGAGGTGGTCTGCAGAGGCCTGCAGTCGAAGTGGGCTGAAGTGGAGAATAGCGCAGCCATAGCTGCTTGTGGATAAAAGTAGTTGGCGGCCATAGCTGCCATAGCTAGCAATAGGTGTTAGTCAGAGTGAGTGGGTGTGTGTGTGTTACAAAGTGTATGTGCGTGGGATATCTTGAATGTGTGTGAACAGTTGGGTGGACACAGTGTTGGAGAGAGGATGTGTGGGCGCTCAGTCGCCATAGCCAATTGGAAGCGAGTTTGTAACTAAACTGTGTTCTCGACTTGACCATCTCTGAGTTTTGTGTGGGCGCACAACGCCAGTGTGAATTGCCATCTTTTTGCATGCATGCGAAGTGAAGCAGAAAGCGAGTCTGATTGCAATGTGTACATTCTGTGTCAATGTTGTTGATACCGCTTGAACGGTAGCCTAGGTGACTTGCCGGATATTATTTTTGTTTTTATTTATTTTTAAACCAGTAAGACGCATGCTGAGGTAGGTTCCAGCGAGAACACTAATGCAGACAACGTCTGCCTAACCGATGAGTGGATCGGAAGGTGGTGAAGGTACAACTGATGACCGAAGGCGGACTAGGCGTGACACACGTAGGATACTTGTAGTGTTCCAGGTCCTGCTACCGGAAGACGAAAGAAGGTTAAGGGCCGAAGCAAGGGCCCGTACTCTTGAGACTGCAAGGGAAGCAGCAGCGGCTGTAGAAAGAATGTTAGCAACAATAGTTGTAGAAAGAACGTTAGCAGAAGCAGCAGCTAGCACAATAGCAATGGCTACCTCTGCAGCAACATCTGCAGCGAACTCGACTGATCAATCGCTCGGCATGCTGCTCAACTCCACGAGTTTGCAGTCTATCTCCAATACGTCAGGATTCGAAACCAGTCAGATGGCGGGCTCGCAGTTCAGCTCGCCGCCCCCGCTCACCAGGGAGCAGATGGAGCTCCAACAAGTAGAGAGGATCCGCTTAAGGTTAGAGAAGGAACTTAAGGAGGCTACTGAAAGGGAAACCGAGATTAGAAACAAAAGTGTCAGACTTGAGGGTAGAGAGGCAAACAAAGTTGTGTTAGAGGGACTAGATGACACAACGCTTGACAACAACACAAAGATTCTCAAGGCGAGCATCCTGTCCATGCACGCTCACATGGACAACAAACTAGACATTATCCAGGACACCGTATACCAGATCCTGAACGCCATGCACATGCCAAGTTTCAAGCCAGAAGTTTTGCCATCATTGCCATTTTCGGCGATAACAGACCCATATCCGCCCGAGTCTGGTAACACACCAAGCAGTACTTCAGCAGCAGCAGCACAGACTGTTGCTTCTACTTCTTCTGGTCCAGCGACTGGAGCTACACCACAACTGCTACCTGCCCCACCAGCGGGACAACAACAACCTTGGTACCCCAAGACCCCATTGAAACCAGCCTCAACCTTCTTAGGGGATAAGAAGGATGAGGCTCTCGACACTTGGTTGAAAATGGTGCCAATGTGGGTGAGGGTGAAGAGGACGTTGGTAGAGGATGAAGTGATAACTGCCGCATCCTATTTAGAGGGTTCAACAACTTGCTGGCTCTCAAAGGGATTCAGTAGGAACATGGGTGATTGGGCCAGGACCCATACCCTAGAGAGCTTTATGGATTTGGTGGAAGCGAGATGGCACAACCCACAATAGGCACGTATTGCCACTGATAGGTTGACCCGGCTTGATGCAAAGAAGTACAAGTCCGTGCGTGAACTCACCTCTGCCGTCGAGCGCCTGATTGTCATCCCCGGGGTACACTATGATCCGCAGGTCTTACTGACCATGTTTGTGAGATGTCTTCCCACAGACATCAAAAACTTATTAGCCAACGAGGCTCAGCTAGAGTATCACACATTTGAGACCTTTAGCAAGAAGGCTCTAGGTTTGGAGGCCACGCTAGGAGGTGCTCAACAATTCCCTACGGATGGAAAGAAGAAGAGTCCACAAGAGTGGAAGAAGGGCAGCCGATTGATGATGGGTGAGGTTGATGGTACTCAAACCGAGATCGATGACTTTTCAGACTTTGTGGACAGTTCAGAGTTAGACAACGAGGATAGTGCCGAGGGTAGCGATCTCGCTGCATTGGTAAAGATTAAGGCAGGTGGCCGTGGCAAGGGTGGTCAACAGAGGAGTCAGTGGCAAACCCAGAACCCGAACAAGATAGCAGCTTGGGTTAGAGCTGGTTTGGATCAAGATGTGTGGCGGGACCAATATATGCAAGGTGCTTGCATTAACTTTGACGAGTATGGCCATCAACAGTGCAAATGCAAGAACGCAAAGGTTTCGCAGAAGATACCACTTAAAGGTGAGATTTCTTTTTCCCAGGGTGGGGCCTCTACGAGTTCCAGCTCGGGAAACACATCGGGCCAATAGAAGTTGTAGCTGCTTCTACTCGCGTTGAAGCGGGTGATGTACCCTCCCCGTTTCAAGAGTTGGCCGAAGCTGTTGACTCCTTAGTCACCCCGCAGACGCATCGTGATCCGGTACTATGTACATTGTATATGTTTGAGGCCTTAGAGGACCTACAAAGTGAGTGGTCGGCAAGGGACCCTCGTGAGGCCTGGGTGGCTTTAAGTCGGGGTCCTAGAGGGGAGCGCTTCGTTGCAGAAGTTGGTGTAGAAAGCTGCAAGTGCGGTGCCTTCGTAGACATCGGCTCCACGCGAAACTTAATAAGTCGCGACTGTGTTGAGAGACTGTGCCTACAGGATCGGGTGCAGCGCCTGAGTAGACCGGTAGCATCTACTTTGGCCAACAAAGAAGGCATGTTAGTGGAGGACTACGTCAAGGACATGGTCTGCACTTTCTCCTACGCAGGAGGGGAACTTAATCATAAGATTTCGTTCCTGGTTAGCGACGACTTACCATTGACATGTTGTTAGGTATGTACTACCTTGAGGTTGCCAAACCCCAGTTAGACTGGGACAAGAAAATGCTAAAACATGAGTTGGCTAATGGGAGGACCGTTAGACTAGCTAAGTATAAGGCTAGTAGGTTAATTGACTCCTACGGGTGCTTGTGCGCATCAGCCTTTTACAGTTATTATAAAAAAAAACAAGAGGAGGGTATGTACCTGGTTTTTGTCTTTGAGAAAGGGGAGGCCATTAAATCACCCCCAGAGATAGAAAATGTTGTTGCGAAGTACGCTGATCTGTTTGAGGAGCCCACAAGTGTCGTACACAGGGAGGTTCTCCATATGATAGAGATCATCCTTGGCAGCAAGATACCCAAAGGAAGAGTCTATAGGATGGCTCAGGCCGAGTTGGACGAGCTTCGTCAGCCACTGAGGTGTTGCTAAGTACGCTGATCTGTTTGAGGAGCCCAAAAGTGTCGTACATAGGGAGGTTGTCCATACGATAGAGATCATCCTTGGCAGCAAGATCCCCAAAGGGAGAATCTATAGGATGGCTCACGCCGAGTTGGACAAGCTCCGTCGGCCACTGAAGAAGCTCACAAAAAAGGGATGGATATGGCATAGCATCTCCCCTTCGGTTCACCAGTTCTATTCGTCCCGAAGAAGGGGGGATCACTAAGTATGTGCATTGATTATAGTGGCCTCAATGCCATCACTGTTCATAATGCAGAGCCCCTACCGTGCATGGATGACCTATGGGATATGGTGCAGGGATTTAAGTACCTTACCAAGATTGACTTGAAATCAGGCTACCATCAGATTGCCATTAAACCGGGAGACCAACACAAAACCGTTGTCGGGACTGGTGAGTCCCGAATAACTTCCCATCACTCGAGAGACCGAACATGGACGAATTGTGCACAACAGAGATATCCAAAGTGAGACGAGATATAAAGGATTAGGCCGCAGGAGGGAGTAATGCCCTGGGGCGAGAACCACAGAGTGAAAGAACTAAGCGGCAGCAAGCGAGCGAGCGCAAGAACAGGGGCACGAAGAACATAGTAGAAGGCCGGGAGGGCCGTCGGAATGCAATAAGACTAAGGCCAAAGGGCCCCTTGAACCAGCAAATGCAACACGACAGCGATAAAGGAATGAGGAAGTCGAGGGATGGGCAGCCCGAAGGCCGCGGGGAACCGAAAAATGAGGGGCCAACGTAGAGGCCACCTACAGGAGCCTCGGAGCGGAGGCCCACGACCAAAGAGATCGGCGCACACAAGGCGCGAGGAAAGACTAAGGAGAGGGGTCACTATGGGGCGACAAGACGCCCAAGGGGCATGGGACACCTCGGGAAAAGGCACGCGGGGCCACGTGGGACTAAGTAAAAATAATGGCATCCGGCGGGACTAAGTGTCGGGGACCATCGGCGGGACTAAGTGGTGGGGACCGCTGACGGGACAAGTGGCGGGGACATGTGAAGGTCCCAAGAAGAAACGGCGGCACCACATGAGGGAAAATAATAAATGCAAGGTGCACCGTCGAGATCGACATCTTGACGGCCAAGAATATTAGCACCACTAGTGCAAACACTAGTGGTGACAAACGGGGAGGCAAAAAGGAAAAGAAAAAGTAAAGGAAACTGAAGTTGGAAGCATAGGAGCAATCCGAAAAATCTCGGATTAGCCTCCCCTAGGAAAATGGAGTCAAAAGAGGCCCTATGTGAAAAATAGCCCTCCGGAAGAAAATCGGAGTAGGAGGGACCACTATGGGAGAAATGTAGGAGCAAAAGGAAGCTCCCATGGGCATGAGAAGGCCATTATTGCAGTCCGAGAATTAACGGACTGCACCTTGGGCATAGGGAGGGCCAAAACTGAGAGGAAGAGGCTAGAAAAAAGGCCTTAACGACCACTTGACACTTGGCATGCTAAAAAAAAGAGAGAAAAGAAAAGAGAATGTGGGAGAATAAGACAAAAAGAGTGAGAGGGAGTGAGTGAGTTGGCCGTCAGTAGCGACTGCCACAGGCAGGGACTGGCAGGTCCCTACTGTCCAAGAAAGGAGGAAAAAGAAAAGAAAAGAAAAGAAAAGAAAAGACAAAAAGGCCTTAACGGTAAAAAACGGTCACTTAGGGAGATTCATCCGTGACCAGATTCATTCCGGAATATGGCGATTACAAAAGACTTTGATTTTCTTTGATTTTTGCAGAGAAAAGCAAAGAAAATCAAGGCCTCTTGCAACCGGAATAAAACGGATTACATGCATGAGAAGAAACACATTTTTCAGGTGCATCCGGAGCCAAAATCAAGTCCGGATGCGCTTGGGAATTGGCCGTTTCTTTTTCTTTTGAGTAAGGTCTAGTTGTAGGGCATTGGGGCTAAGGAATTGACCCCCATTGCAGTCCGAGTTGCAACGGGGGAGAGAAAACACATGTTCTAGGTGCATCCGAAGCCAAAATAGAGCCCCGATGCACTTGGAAATTTAACGCTTCATTTTCTTTTAACATGGGGCCAGTTGTGGGGCTATGGGTGTAGAAAACAGCCATGACTGCAGTCCGAGAAATTACGGATTGCATGGGGATGCCAAGGCTAACATGAAATGGGCTACGACAAGCTTGGAAGGCTAGAAAGGAGCAATTTCGACATGGGGCAAGTAAAGACGGTAAACGGCAACCGTGAGATGAGATCTCATAGCCTAGAAGTATCGGCACACATGTAGAAATGATGGGACCAAAAAGGGCAAGGGCCCCAAAAAAATAAAAATGGGACGCCGTCTGGAATGTTGCCGGGGGCCAAATGGGTCCAAATAATAAAACTCGAAAAACGGGACATGCGTCGGCGGGACCGCCGGTGGGACAAGGAAATGGAGCTAGCATGAAGGAAAATGGCGGGGACTTGGGATGTCCCAAGGGAACGATAAGCGAACACAGAAATATTTGTGCAAGCAAACGGCACCGTCAAGATCAAGGATCTAGACGGTGGAAAATATTTGCACCACTAGTACAAGCAGTAGTGGGAGAGTCATGAGAGAAAAAAAAGTAAAATAAGGATGTTGAGAAGGCTGCCCAGCAGTCCGGGATATCTCGGACTAGCTAGGCATAAGAAAATAGAGCCTTGAGAGGCTCAACATGAGAAAAAGGCTTCCCTTAGAAAATCTGAGCAAAAAAGGCTCAAAATTGGGAAAACGGGAGCAAAATGGAGCGCCCTAGGAGCATGGGGGTACCATTGTTGGAATCCGAGATGTAAAGGTCAAGTAACAGCGATGAACCTGGCCTTGAATGATGCCCTAGGGCCTAGAAAGAAGGTGCACAACAGTTTGACACTTGTCACAACTGAAATAAAAGAAAAAGAAAAAAAAATGAGACAAAAAGGAGGGAGAATGAGACAAAAAGGGAGAAAAGAGTTGGAGGGGAGTGTGCAGGCCTATTGGGACCTGCACAGTAGGGACTCGCATATCCCAACTATGACCTCATCCCTCCTAGAATGAGGGAGGGCAATCCGGATTGAAGAGATATTGCCCTTGGGGCCATATCTCAATAAAATATGAATTAAAAAGAAGAAAATGAGAGAAAAGGCAAAAAGGAAGTGGCCGGTTTTCTTTTGGACCATGGATATGAGATCAGATTCTCATGGTGGAGAGGAACTAGCCGTTTTTTATTGGCCAGCTCAAAACGGCTAGCTCCGTAATGAGGTTGCAGCCCAAAATGGAAAGAAACAAAAGAGGGAAAATGCCAAAACTGTGCATTTGGCCCAAAAAGAGAGCCAGATGTACCAAAAATTGAAAAAGTAGACTTAGGGGCTCAAAATTGAAGAAAGGGCTACTAGGGGGTAGCACGGATTAATTTTGGCCTTGGATCTTAGCCAGATCCAAGGCTGAAAATGTGCCGCCATATGGAGAAATGCTCCGGCCTACCCAAGGGAGGTCGAAACTTGGAAAAATCGGCTTTCTTCTTTCAAGTATTGCTGCCCCTTGGGGATTAGGACCCTAGGGGGCAGCATTCGGGCAATGAAAAAGAGGCTGAAGTAGGCCAAGAGGCAGTCCGAGTTGGTACCAACCACTCGGACTGCATGTACTTGGCCAAAATGAGGCCCAGGTACCTCCAGAAGGGCCTAGTGGAGAAATTTGGCCTTGCGGGTACCTCGGTTCACCCCAAGGCACTTGGAGAGGCTCATGGGCTGGCCGGACTGCTGGTTTCAGCCTACATAAGCTGAGGATGCAGTCTACCACTTTCACATTTGCATGAGGAGTGCCCATGCTGCCCAAGTGAGCTCACAGGAGCACCTTTGCACTTGGAGTGAGGAGGGAGGATCCCATGCTAGTGGGAGAGATTAGAGGAGACTAGGAGGTAGTGGGGAGGACTCCAGAGGATAAGGATGGTGGGAGAGACACTTAGGAGGTGATCCGCCATATCCTCCCTGGGTGTAGGAGGGAAGGAGAGGCTAAAGGAGCCCCATTGGACCTCT